GCCGTGAGCGGCCTTCCAGAAGCCGGTGACTGATCTGCCTCGCCCGGGAAGAGTACAATGATGGTGCCAACTTGGGCCAGTGAAGCAACGTCCTCCACAACTAAACTGAAGAACAGAATGACAGCAACTTGTCTGTTCCCCTTCCCCAATTCCCCAGCACTGTTCCCATCCCCCAATTCCCCAATAAAAATTTTTTAAAAATCTAAAAAAAACCCACAAAAACTTAAGTCCATGCAAAGGCTTACATGCAAATGCTCTTAGCAGTCTTATTCATAATGACCCGAAACAGGAAACCACCTAAATGTCAATCCACTCATAAATGGATAGACAAAATGGGGTACACTCAGCAATAGAGATGAACTATAGATACATGCTTCAACATGAATGACCCCCAAAATGTTATTTTCAATGAAAGAAGCCAGATGGATGAGACCACATATTGTTTGAGTCCATTTATATGAAATGTCCAGGAAAGGCCAAGTCTACAGAGACAGAAAGGGAGGAGTAAACCAGTGCTTGCCCGTGGTCAGGAACAGGGACTAGAACAGGCTTACCTGTGAATGGGCAGAAGGGGCCTTATTGGGGGGAGAAGGTGTTCTACAGCTGATTTATGGTAATGGGGGTACAGCTTCGTAAATTTACTAAAAAAAACTTGAATTGTACACTTGAAATGGGTGGATTCTATGACACATTAAATATGCCTCAATAAAGTTAAAAAAAAAAATAGAACCAGAGCCAGGGTTTGAACCCAGATCTTCCGTTCCGTTTGTCCTACATCCCGTTTTGTCCATGTCCCGCTATGAGCTAAATAGGTTATAGCTTGCAACAGTGCAAAAATCATGAATTATAACAAATGACAAAATCGTTTATCTAGAAAAACAGCCCATCCTATATTAAAAAAAAAAACCACCTTTACTTTCTACTCACAAATCCTAAAACACTTCTGGAGAAAACAAGGCCTTAAAAGAATGAGGAAAACCCTTAAACTATATTTTATTACTGACAATTCTTTTAATCTCTGTTTTCATAATTACAAATTCCCGACTTTTGCTTACAGGCGACTTTTATGATTCTTGTCTCCATCTCTTCCTCTCACTACTTAACTTTTTTGAGGCCACAGGTGCTAATTACCTCTTTAACACCTCTCTCCTTCTGACTCCCAACTTGGAGTGACTCCAAGTTTCCCCTAGCTTACATGATCACTCCTATCATCTCAAGTTCACCAGCAGACAACAGGAACGTGTCTCATAATATATATGTTGCTATTCTCTCTCTTTTCATGAGTACCTCTGAAGTGCCTTTAAAGCGACTATCTGTAAGTTCACCCAGTAAGGGTCTCCAACTACATCTGACTGATTCCCACAAGTGCTACATTTTGAGTCCCTCCAACAAAACAGAACATAGGTAAACAGAGTTAAATAGATTGTATCTATTTATTAACTGTTTTATTAGCTGTTTTAATCATTAACTGTTTTATCAAAAATAGTTAGTCTTCTCTGCCTGGTCACTCTCAACCCCACCCCAGATACAATGGCTCACTCTCTTGTGTTTCTTCTCACCGCTGCCCTGCCATGGTGAGGTTAGACACCTGACATGATGTGAGTCACTAAATGGCCCCACCTATGAAGTGTTCTAGCAAAGAAAAACTGCACCTGTATCTGAATGCGTGTCTAGATCTTTAATTTTTGCCAATTAAAAAAAAGAAAAAAGAGAGGATGGAGAAATACATTGAGCAACACCATAAGGATACCATCAGGAAAATGCAACGTGTGGGTATCATGTAGATCCCAGTTCAGACAAGCCAACTGTAACACGTTTATAAGACAAACTGGGAAATTTTAATGTTAGAAATGTGATGTTACTAAGGAATTGTTGTTAATATTTTTTAGGTTTGCGAATGATCCTGCAGTTATGTGTTTAAAAAGAGCTCTTATATTTGAGAGACAACTGCTAAAGCTTTTTATGAGTGATGCCTGGGAGAAGAATAGGAGATTTTAAAGACAGAAATTTGGGATCAGGGGAGGAGCACACAGGCCGATTCAATATCATTGGTAGAATTTACATGTGTTTCATGAATTCTTGGTATGTACAAAATGTTACATAATTTTTTAAAATTAGGGACACGGTGAGAAGGCAGATGGAGATCTTTTTATAAAGTAGTATTTCTTTTAATTTGACACTAATTCATGATAATTTTCTTGAGGCGATTTTAGTTAAAACCTTCTCAATTAGTATTAATCATACAAATACACACATACACACACACACACACACACACACACACACACACACACACACCCCTTAGATGGGAAAGCAAGTGGGAAAAACAATTAAAATAAGTTATGAGTTTAATTTAGGCCACCCTTATCAATGTTTATTATTGCTATTTATTTTGTCTCTTATTCAAGTCCCCATAACCTTCACCATTTAAAAATGTCTAAAGGCTAAATGCAATAGAATAGCTGACCCTCTGGACATCATATTGGCTTTTGTATATTCAAACTTTGGCTAATGAGCTTTATAAGGGTGTGAACCCATGTTATGCATATGTGGTACTACAATGTTTACCTCAAACAAGTTGTCCATTCTTATTCATATAATTGTTGACACATAGCTACGTTGTATTTATCAAAATATTCTTTTATATCTTAAAGAGCTATGTGGGTATAATCGGATATATGCTTTTATGAGTCTGATAGACTTTAAATAATGTCTTAACATATTTTGCAGATGACAAGAGTTGGTCGATAACATGGTATAAGGGTTGTTCCTTGATGTATATGTACCATACTTTTCAATAGAAGGGATTATGAGGCACTTAATGAGCTGTGTGAGTCCACAGAGATAGTGTCTTTCTACTGTGGTGAAGTCTTAAAACTGCATTGTCTTTTGTTCCGGGTGCCCGTGATGGGCTCCATCAGGTGAATGTGTGTCAGAGGCTGTGGTCAGGACTCACTTCCCCATTTGATAGTTCCGGTTCTGCCGCAGTGCAGCACCCGTTGAACCTAAGAAGTGTGTTCACCATGATATTTTCAGTTTGATCATCAGTGGATAGAGTGACATTCACAAATAAAAAGAATTACAGCAGGCATGTGCACAGCTGGATGTAGCTTCTCGTGCATAATCTGAGGTTAGTGGAGCCTGCAGAG